GGGATTCGAACCCACCACCTTAGGTGTATGTGGCTGGCGCCTTAGCCAGTTGAGCTATAGGCGCTGAGCCAAATGATCTAACTTTTTAGGGAAAAACTCTGCCAACATCTCATCTAGAAATTCTTCTTTTAGGATATTGTAATATGCTCAAGTGTGCAAAGATATACATAATAAATATGTTTGCTATATTTGGAAACAATTCACCAAAAGAGGACTGGTTAAAATCACTACCCAGTGTAGTACCGTGTAGATCTTGAAAAAGATTAACATGTACAATATGGAAAGATGTCCAAGTGTATCATAAGGAAACAAATCAAGTTACAAGAGAGTATGAATAGCATATGTCTATTATAAAAATAATTTAAATAATTTAAAAATAATGGCATATTTGTAAAAGCATTGAGAATTTTTTTTTTTTTTTTTTGCAATTTTTGGCTGGGGCTGGGTTTAAATCCGCCACCTCCGGTATATGGGACTGGCACCCTACTCCTTTGAGGCCCAGGTGCCATCTAGTATTGAGAATTTTTTAAGAGACAAGGTCTTGCTGTATTTCCCAGGCTGACCTTGAATTCCTGGGCTCAAGTGATCCTCCCACCACAGCCTCCCAAGTAGAAAAAAGATTTTTGGAAGTATACATGTGGACACTAAACTGTAAACAATGGTTGTCTCCAGAAAATGAAACTGCCTCAGTTTTTTACTTTCAACTTCACAGGTATCTGTAGCATTTGAAATTTTATAATAATCATATGTTCTTTTTGTAAATTATATAAATTAAACTTTAAATTTCTTCCTTTTAAAAACTAGAAATGAGGGTGGCACCTGTGGCTCAGTGGGTAGGGTGCCCACCCCATATACTGAGGGTGGCAGGTTCAAACCTGGCCCTGGCCAAATTGCAACAAAAAATAGCTGGGTATTATGGCAGGTGCCTATAGTCCCAGCTACTCGGGAGGCTGAGGCAAGAGAATTGCTTGAGCTCAAAAGTTTGAGTTGCTGTGTGCTATGACGCC